AAACATTAAAGTGGTGAAGTCGGACCGTCGCGTCCTAACCGCACATAATCACCAGAGTCACCAAACGAGCGAGATAGTTTCGAATTTTGTGTGATAAAAATCATTACGAAATTTGAAATGGTTTCTGTGTCTCTTATCAACGGAATGACATAACTTTTATCGTGTATTAAAGAAAATATATTATATGGCTTTATCAGTATAGGTCTAATTTCATGTAGGTATCTTGTTTGTACTTATTTGTTTATTTTGTATTCGATTAGTGAGTTTATATTTTTATTTGCATCTGGGGTCTGCTGTAGTCACGATTTTTTTTATCTATTTTATACCAGTTTCTAGTCAGAGGCTTAGCCCGAAGTGCCAGGGTAAAAAATTGCCTGTGTGTTATTCCAGACTATAGTCTGTTCCTGTGTCAAATTTCATTCAGATCCGCTCAGTAGTTTTAACATATAAGATACATCTATACATTATACATATAAACATATGCGTTTTTAATCTCTTTAGGTTAACTGAGAATATACTAACTCGTAGATACAAATGTAGCGTATTCTGATTATACCCCTCTTGATTATCTTTTTTAGGTCCAAAAAAATTTTTTTTTACTAAACTCATTGTTTTTGTCCAGCCTTTAGCCTTTATTTGTCACCAGTGACTAGCGTTGACTTAATTAAATTACTCCTTCAATGTTTCCATCTGTCGAGAACTTGGCGGACTTATTTGTGAGAACTAGGTTAGAATGGGCCTCGCAAAAAAACTGGCGTGAAACAACCACAGCGTTCTGTTCCGGTGTACAATCAGAATACGCTAAAGTTGTAAGAGTTAATATCATCCTATTTAACCTAATAACTATATTTATAAATGCATATATTTACATGTATGCGTAACCGGAGCAAAATAATTTATGCCATTAATCGCCAAAACTCTTTATACCTAAAAGGCTGGCAACACATTTAACTTACATGCCGTTGGCTTACTAACACCATCAGATAAGTCCGTCTATGATCCCTTACCGCTGTATTACATACAAGAAGAATATTCATTACTCATCCCATCCCACTATGGAACAAAGATCTCTTCTGAAACGAAGAAGACTTGAGCATACTTTGTATATAAATTCATAGTCATTTATTATTCAAACAAACTCGGGCTTTGACTGAAAACGAAGATTTTAACCATGCATCCTGTTTACGTTTATAGAGGAGGCAGTCAATATATCGAAATAGTTAATATATTATTTAAGTGACAAATGGTAGAACATTCTGTTTCGTATCATTCAATATTCATGGGGATACCATTACCGAAACGTGGGGATTTGGTAGATCTGTTGAGGTATTTTATTGCTTATCAGTAAATATCTATGTGTGTGTACGAGTAGCATGTAATATGTATTTGCTGATTCTCCGAAAACTCTTGACGTTTATTTAACAAATAATATGTATATCCCTCTGGTTGTATATTTTACCGTATAAATAGGTATGTTTGAAACAATGAAACAATTAATTTATTTTTGTAAATAGGCCATAAAATATCAATTTTACACGTCAATACTATATGTTAATATGACGCTGGTATTTCCTATCTGACTACTCTGAGAAGAAATGCCGAAACAGACTCAGAGGTCCGTCTCTTTTCAAGTCCAGACAATGTGAAAAATTATATAATGTGCGAGAAATGTACTTTTTTGTTTAGGGGTAATCTTTGGTGGAACCGAGCAGCAGTAGTTAGTCTATACTTCTATACTAATATTATAAAGAGGTAAAATTTTAAAGTTAGTAAGTTTGTATGTAGGGGGTAATCTTTGGAATCGCTGGTCGGATTTCCAAAATTCTTCACTGATGGATAACTACAATGTTCCTGAGTGCTATAGGCTATAAAACGTCACGCTACGATCAAAGGGAGCCGAGCAGTGTTTGCTCGTTCCAAAGTGTAGATTCCGATGGAGAAGAACGAGCAAGAAACTCCATGGTTACTCTTTTTAAATCAGTTTCACATACATATTCCTTTTACAAACAGTTGGTTCAATTATGTGAGAACAGTGTAACACTAATATTTATTCAAATATAAAAATAAAGTAACCTTAAGGACAATAGACAGCAGATATAAGCTGTAGGTTGAGGATACTGACATCATTATTTTTGTAATTAAATAACGTTTAGATGATCAGCCTATAGTTATGGGATGATTAAAGCCACTTTCAAAGTAGCGGTTTTCCTTAATAATTTAGATCTAAGTATTTCATACTGTAGAACATCAAAGTAGATAAAAAATAAGACGGTTTAAATTGTGACTGTGTATATTTTTCTACGCTTTATCTTATACACTTTAGGAAATAAACTCTATTTTATTTGCTTATCTACTGTTAATTTCCTTTACCAGTACCACACATCTTTCTATAAAAAATATATGATAGATGTAGGTAATACTGGTACTGGTCATCAAAGGAAGATATAGTAAGTACTGATTTATTTTAAACTAGCAGCTCGCCCCGACTTCGCATGGGTGCAATGCCAACACTAAATTTGTCCACTATTCAATTAATGTTATTATCCATACATTTCTCTTTAATGACTTTATCTTTTTTCAAAACCCGCATCGGAATCCCTTTCTTAGTTTTAAAGTAATTTAAACATACGTTGGGATATAGGGTCACAGTAAAGGGCCTTTATTTTATTCTATGTTGTGAAGAACCTACCTGCCTACATACAAAGGTAGATTATATGCTATTACCATACTATCATACATAAATCATATATGGTTGAGTGAACGAGAACTTACGAGCACAACTAGTAACTAAATAAATACTGCAACTAGACTTTAAAAGGATTTATGTATCTGGTATCCGGGATGGGACGGTCCGCAGTCCACAACTCTTTAATGGTGTATTGAAAATTACGTTGGCAAGCTTCCAATCCATGATTGGACATCGATTCATGTACTCTGCCTTACCCGGATATTATTACGCGATAAGATTTGCTACAGCTTTCATATTTAGATGTTCTGGTAACAAAATATTAGGTGGTACAGTTATGTGTTTCTTTTTTTTTGTGAGAGAAACTTTTTAAAATCCCTTCTGCCTCATATGGTCCGGCCGGAGGTCAGACTCTTACTGACGAAAAAACCCCGTTCCTTCTCCTGCTCTGGGCCGAGGCTGCGGTGACGCATTGCGCTTTCCCTGCCAACTTGGCTAAACATCAGGGCCCCGTTTTATTTTTGTCAGGGGAAAATCATCACATGTCTTCTCCCGCCCGGGGTCGGGGCGGAAGGAAGTGTCAGACTCTTACTGACTAAAAATCCCCCCATTCCTTCTCCTGCTCTGGACCAAGGCCGCGGTGATTCATTGCGCTTTCCCTGCCAACTCGGCTAAACATCAGCCCTATAGCGCCCCGTCTGTGGTGATCTATTGAGGCGCACGCGGAACGCTAGGCGCCGTCCGCTCGAGACGTTTATGTGTGTAGTGTAGGGAAGACAAGCCTTCTTATTTTAAATAAGATTTGTTGCTCCTTTACTATAAGCCTGGCCCCACGCCAGTTTGACTTGAGGTCAGTTGAGTCTGAACCCTATATTTATTAACGTCGAACATAAATTTCCTTGTACCTACTTACAGAATTGAACGTAAAAACACCCCATCTGCCAAACAGCGGTGAATAGCATGAAGTATATTAAAAATATAAATTTTATTTCAGTAAAATAAATAAGTTATTGGCACTCGCTGTTCGTTTTTTATCGCTCCTGCCACGGAGAGTTCTCCGAGGAATTGTTTGGCGTTTATATGATATTAATATATATTTTTTGTTAAGTTGTTAGAATTAAGTTACAATGCATTTGTAATAGGTACCACATGTGAAAAAAGTTGTAAGTTTGTTAATACAATAATATAAAAATATAGAATCAATTACTCAAGCAATCTTGCAATTAAGGTGATAGCTCAAATCTAATCAACTGCTTTTTAAAATAAGAAATAATAATTTACCAGCTTAGAGACTTTTGAATCATAAATCAATGTAAATAAAAATGAGGTACCTATATGTTTTATACGTCATGCTACATAATAAAACACTTATCATAATAAATGTGCTTATGTAAGTACAACCAATAATTTCAACAATCAAATAAACCACTTACTCATTAGAGAACACTTAAAAAAAAACACCATCATCAATGTTTTTATAATTACTATCGTGAGACATACTAAATTAACTAAAATTCGCGGGTTACTCACGTGTGAATGTTGAGAAAAGCTCTACTAGTTTCGAACCACAGAGGGGTTCTTCCTCATGAGCAGCGTGCGCGGACGCGGCGACGTCGCGCAGCCTACTCAGTGCGTAGGCTGCGCGACATTTACACGTGAGTAACCCGCGAATTTTAGTTAACCATCATCAATCCAAATAATATTTAGGTACCTAATGCAATGTCCATCATAAGCTAATGGTAGTTCGAAGTTTAAACCAGCAAATGCATGGCGCGCAATTGTCAATGGTTTACCGGCGCCTCGGCATTCAGTTGTTATTTCAGTATTCTCTTAATAATGATGATGGAATACCTGCTTTTACCACCATGATGCGTGAATTACAATCGTTCCCATTAGAATCCTGTTACACGGCTAATTAGCATTCCGAGAGTAACGCCAAAAGCGTCTCGTTTTGACTATCGAATTGAAACAGAATTGTTGTGGTATGAACATGTTGAATGTTTTAAGAATGTATACTAACCTTATAGTGAAAACATTACAATTGATTGGGTTACTAACTACAAAGTAATAAACTTGGAAATCGGTGCTTTAAGCCAATTTCAATTGCACAATTGATTCCTGCACAGAAAAACATTTTGTGTGTTCCATTGTTGTTTCGAATATGTGTGAAATCCTGGAGAGTATGTTGTGGCAAGGAGTTAATAACTTGTTTTTGTGCGCTGAATCAACTTTGTTTCTTATGTTATTAACTTGGCTATTGTATTTTTACAGGTAAAAATTTCTTACCCTAAGACGAAGCTGTACGCTATACAAGATGGCGGAAAGTAGTAAAAAACGGGGTGGTAGTTTCCGTAAAATATTTCCAAAACTCTTCTTTTCTCACAAATCAAAAGAAAAATCAGCAACAGAAGAGTCAAAATCAAATGCAAAAGGTACCACAGAATCTTCTAAAGGCAATCAATATCAGAATCCTCGTTCGATAAGATCTGATAAAAACGGTCAAGGATTGGAAGATAATGAACGTATATATGAAAACTTAACAACACGTCCTCAGAGTGATAACGAAACGCAAAGCAACGATATATCAAGCCACCATTCATCAAGTAGCACACTTGTTTCCGAGAGCACGAAAAACAAATCGATTGACACGAACGAAATATCTGAAGCCGAAAGTTTTGCGTACACCAACTACACAGCACGACCACAGGTACCACCCAAACCGTTCAATGAAATGGCACAGATACCTCACTCGCCACACTCGTCGAATCGAAGTAATCAAGTGAATAATTTTGATAACACTCAATATCCGGACGTTTATTATCATTCATTGGAGAAACTGAACGATAAAATATCGCCGTTTGATGAAATTGAAATTTATAGAGCGTCACAAGCACAAACCAATCCAGCTTCGGTCGGAGCAGAAATAAAACGGGTGAGTACAAAGTTTTTGATATCACCGAAAAAAGAAGCAGAAGTAAGAACAATACAGCCAACACGAGCTCGTAGTTTATCATTTGATAATAATAAAGAAAATGAACAAGCTCCTAAGGAACACACTACTTACAAAAGACAGGAAAGCAGTACAAAACCATATAATTATTCAGCCCCCACTTCGCCAATGCCAATTAGTCATAAAATGCCGAATATGCCAAAAACCGTTTCTCCATATGAACACGTAAGAAAAACAATGCTTGAGACTGAAGAGAAAAGGAATTCTTTAAGTAGAACGAGTCTTCGTAATAAATCTTCGCCTTCGCCTAGATCAGAGTACAGTCAAAGGACGACTCCAACATTACCTGAAAATTCGAGGCAAGATTCAAGTGATAAAGAAAAAACTAGGCAGAAAGTTGAAGCATTTTATTGGCAAAAGTTGAAAGAATTAAAACAAAAAGAAGACGAATACTTAATTAGACAGTCTCTGAACACTTCTTTAAAAAGTCCTTCTCGGTTCAAACCCTCTGCTAATTCTAACTGTAGCACTCCAAACTCATTCTCATACGTAATTGAGCCTAGGAGTTGCAGTTTACCGCGTGGACATGACCTTCAAAGTTACTCTACGATTCAATCAATTTACACCTCAGTGCCATTTGCTAGAGGTGCACCTGAAAGAAGAACTGATACTTTTATTAAATTTCGAAACACTGTTGACGACCCTGATATAATTTACCGTCACCCTGAAAAACTTATGGTAAGAACAGCGTCGCCTGCCTTTCAAGAACAAAAAATGCCGATGTATTTTCGGAGTATGCCACAAGATGGTCGAAGTGTAGGTCCATCGAAACGTGTCAGTTTTGAAGAAAGATACGGTAAAACCGAAAGTATTGGAAAAAATAATAGTGAACTAAAAGTGAATGATTATAAAGTGCAAAGCCTTCAGCCAGGAGCTGTCCATAAAATTAGTGAGATATCGTCTCGGGTGCCTCCACGACCTCCTGTGCGAACCACTAGTGTTGGGGGTAAAAAAGTTGTGACAAACAAGAAAATTACACAGTTAACTAGTGCTGGACAATCGCTGTGTTCCGAATCTGAAAGTGGATCCGAAGCTGGTGAAATACAAAGGATTATGCAGGGGAACGTGCAAAAAGGTAAGTGCATACATGTTAGTTGCCTTTGTTTCACAAAATGAAATGTTGTTTACTTTGGCGAAACAAATTGTGTGCCATTGTAAATGTGAACAAATACCGGGCAGAGATTTAATTTTGTTGTTAAATGAAAACAACATTGTGTTGCTTGCATTCGATCACATGATTTAACGTAACAAAGCGACAATGGATCCAACTTTAAAGTCCAAGAGATAACTACGGTAGTTATACATATGCTATCGCTGTCATAGCGCTCTATCTACTGGCCACGAAAAGCGTTAATTTTCTAACCGACAATTGCATAATAAGTGTTTTGTAGAGCTTTATTGAACCCTGTCATCAATAGCTCTCGAAAAAAACAATGTTTTGTTGACCTTCATATTTTGGCTAGCGGATGTTTAACATATTTATTTCAACCGCGTTACAAAAATATACATGTACAAACATTCACAATACATAAAATACGTAAAATGATTGACTAAATATAAATTTATCAAAATTGAAACTTTGTTAGTTGGAAACACAAAATATCCTTTGAAAGGTAAAGTTCACGTGAATTTGGGCTTAATTGAATACGGAACTCTGACCTGTGTGTGGTTAACTACGTTGTGTTGGTCTTGTTAACGTATTCCTAGAACCGGTGTGTACATCTGTGTACATTTTGATTTACCGTGGCTGTTGCGGGATTAATCTCTTTAAGCTTCAATCTGTGTGACAGGTAACCTTAAACTTTATGTTTTACTATATACGTATATAGCATTCTAGACAGAATGCTTGTTTAATATTTGTGGTTGAAAACTAGCAAGAAGTTATTGATGTGGGACTGCCACAATTTCTTTTATCGTTTAAGTAGATAAATGAGCATATACAGCATATCTATACTAATATTATAAAGAGGTAAAATTCCAAAATTTGTTAGTTTGTATGTAGGGGGTAATCTTTGGAACCGCTGGTCGGATTGCCAAAATTCTTTCACTGATACATAGCATCAATAGCATAACAGTGTTCCTGAGCGCTATAGGCTACAAAACATCACGCTACGATCAAATGGAGCCGAGCAGCGGGTGAAAACGCGCGAGAGAAGCTAATATGCGATATGCCGTGACCGACCATCGATTAAAATGTACCATTTTTTTAGTTTATTTAGACTGAAATGTGTTTTCATTGAAAATACTAATTTTTGTATTATACTAATTTTTGTGTTTTCATTGAAAATACTATTAATTGCCAATATTCCTTTAAAATTATTATTATTTAAAACACTTCCAAACAAACGAGTACCTTTTTCATAAGTACCTACTATAGCAGGTGTTATTAGTTTTTTCTGTGGTGTATTTTGAGTCTGATCACAAATCGTACATCGAGTAAAACATTCAAATATAAGAAAAAATAAACTACTCTCAAGTATGTGATATTTTTTATTTCGGGGTACAAGAATTAGATTATTGGCCAAACTACTTTCCAGTTTCAATTAGGAGTGGTGTAGTGTGTAGGTACAAGATCAAGAGTATGTTGGCTAGTTGCCAACAAGTTGGTAAAACCGATTAATAGGCCCTGTTTCGTGCCCGCCGCCGACTGAACTATAGTTGATAATTGAATCAATTAATTTACAAATTATTCTATTCAACATAACTGCTGGCTAGCTGGTCTCTCTAGTTTTTTACGACTAAGTACTATCAATTATGCATAGTCAACTCAGTCGTTTCTATATTTTTATTATCATGCAAAATGTTCGAATTGAAATACAAGACCTCACCGGAGTTACCGAAGACCCAATTGTTTCCCTCCCCCGTTACTCCTCAATCTCTAAATCTCCGAAACCCTTATCCCTAAAGACCGTGTTGTGGGTGTCCATGGGTGGAGCCGATTGTTTATAATATCAGGTAATCTGTATCCATAGAACTTTATAATCTAAAATGATGAAAGAAAAGTTTTTTTTTCATTTAAAAGAGAGTTTCATTAAAACGAACATGGTAACAGATAACGCAATGCCTCAATTGCGCGACAATATGCAGGATAAGCTGTTTTTACCCGACTGCCAAAGAAGGAGGGTAATGTTTTTCGAGTGTATGTAAGTATGTATGTATGTCTGTTCCTTTGTGACCTCCTGTAGCCTAAACGGCTTGATGGATTTTGATGTATGAGGTATCGTTAGATTTGTCTTGATTACGGGAGTGTCATAGGATACATTTTATCCTAAAAGTCCCACGGGATAAAGACATAATAATATTTTTTCTAAATTTCCCTTTAAAAAAATATGTATGCGGTATCATTAAATTCATTTCAATCACGGGAGTAACGTTAAATAAAAACAGCTAAAAAGTTATAAATAAAAAAATTTTTATTAAAAAAACAAAATACCCGACTGCACACTAAAAAAAGAGTAAAACAAGCCCCACAATACAAATTTACTGAATATAATTTATAAATGTTGATGGAAAGCATCGCAGGCGGGGACCACCTTGACCGCCACCAACGAAAATTCTGCTAAATGGTGCACAACAGAAATGACTATAAATAAGCCTCTGTTGGTCCCCGCCTGCGATGCTTTCCATCAACATTTATAAATTATATTCAGTAAATTTGTATTGTGGGGCTTGTTTTACTCTTTTTTTAGTGTGCAGTCGGGTATTTTGTTTTTTTAATAATAATTTTTTTATTTGCCTCCTTCTTTGCAAGAATAACTGCTTCACAGAAAGAAGAGACGGCTTTCCAGTTCCTCTCGGTACGCACCAAGGCCCCTCGACTAAGGCTGGGCGCGAGATTTCGCCGCCGCCCCATTACTTCCCTGTGCTCAGCCCAAGCAGGGTACCCCGCCACCGTGTCCTCAGGGTAATGCATAGGGCTGATGTTCAGCCGGGGTTGCAGGGTAAGCGCAATGAGGCACCGCGATCTCGGCCCAGAGCAGGAGAAGGAACAGGGGGGTTTTTAGTCAGTAAGACTCTGACACTTCCTCCCGCCCGGCCCTGGGCGGGAGTAGTAATTTGATGATTTTCCCCTCACAAAAAAAGGGTAATGCAGATGGATTTTCTGACGATAAAAAACCCTGCGGCTTTTATTTACCGAATTAGGAAGAAACTCTAGCGCCTGCCAGTTTCTGAACAGCAAACTGGCGAACTATAACCTAATGCCGATTGAAAACATAATATCTTACTAATATTATAAATAAATACTGCAATAAAAATACTTAAATGGCTATGGGCCATACCTATAATCAGTGAAACTATTATACCCTATTTTTATCAAACGGGAACGCGCATACAGTAGTTACTGAGGCCTTAGTTAGTTAGTTAATTACTTACTCGTTTACACACATGGCTAATTAATGCACAATACTAATAATCTTAAATCAATTAAGATTATATGCAGAGGTGTCAAAGTCTATGATTCAATTCAAACAAGGTGTTAATTGTAATACACGGTTAATTACAGAACCTCCATAGTCAATTGGCATGATTCTCTGAAATGTTGGATTGAGCTGTACAAATTTCGACCTAAATGTCATACATATTTTACCTATGAAAGATAAGGTTTTGCCAATCAACCCATTTAGGGCCCACAACTGATTGAACCTCATTATAAATATACGTACATAGAAGTTGCAAATATAATATATACCTGTGTATGGGCGGCGATCGCTTACCTAATTAGGTAATTTGTCTGCTCGTTTACGGATACATTCTACATATCTCATAAAAAATTAAAAATGTTCTACATGTCCGGGATAGTTGAAGAATAGCACACGTGGAAAGTATCTCCTGGTGTTAATTATAAACGACTAGCTACTCTCGCTCGGTTTCACCAGCTGCTCGGCTCCATTTAATCGTAGCGTGATGTTTTATAGCCTATAGCACTCAGGAATATTGTAGCTATCTATCAGTGAAAGAATTTTAGAGATCCGACCAGCGGTTCCAAATATTACCCCCTACATACAAACTTACAAACATACAAACTTATACCTCTTTATAATATTAGTCTATAGATTATAGATTACATAAGGGAAAAAAGCCTTGACTATTTTAAAACATAATATTGACATTCTTAAAACAGGTGTTACTGATATTGTAATAGAAATTGGTATAATAAGTAGGGATATTTGCAAAATATTTCAAGTCTGTTTACATTATTATAAAAAAGGTGAGACGTGATCGAGAATTTTATTTATTAAAAACCACTTAGTCAGTGAACAAAGAAATGGAGCAGGTTCGTAAATATTTCTCTTTGAAATTTTGTTTTGTATCGTTAAATACGAATTTATTTGAAAGGAGCCTTTGTATTCTATGTTAGAATAACAACACAATTTACCTTTTCATTGAAGGTAGTACCTTCGTATAAAAGGTATTTCTAAACGGATGCCTCGTGTAACCTCCAGGTAATGCGAAACACCTACGTGGTCTTTCTTTCTTTTCTTTTTTGAGGAAGGAAAATCATCAAACGACTTCTCTCGTCCGTGATGAGGGAGAGACTTAGTGTCAGACTCTTACTAGAAACCACCCCCTTCTCCTGTTCCAGGCCGAGTCCTCGGTATTTTATTGCGCTTGGCCCGCAACCCCGGCTGAACATAGACTGAAGCAAGTGAAACTGAATTTAAAAAAGAGTAACCATGGAGTTTCTTGCTCGTTCTTCTCCATCGGAATCTACACTTTGGAACGAGCAAATAGCGTCACTAAGAGGACTGACCGACAGACTGACACTATATCTTCAAAATTTTGTTTGACGTTCAAAATTGCCTGTAAGGGTCTAATTGGAATAAATGATTTTTGACTTTTTTAACATCAGCTCTGTTGGGCCCCATCTGTGGTACTCTATCGGCTCTGTAAGACACACGCGGAAGGCTAAGCTCCGTACGCTCAGGTCTGGTTTCGGCAGACTCGAGCTTTCGGTGGCCAGAGACCGTGGCCTCTAGATTAAATTTTTGTGGAGTATGTCGTACTGTATTGTCTAAATAAACATAGAAAGTACAACAAATAACCCGGAAAAAGTCACATACGTTTATTTAAACG